CGCTACCTCTATTTACTCAGGTCCCACCATCTGTGACCCCCATAGACCTGCTCTCCATTGTCGACCCATTCTCATCTCTCCCCCACTCCCCCTCCCAATCAAGCCTTTGCCCAGCTCCTTGGGAGATGGGATGGCAGAATTGACCCACAAAGTGGATCAGGAGCAGTCGGTGGTCTCCCAAGACTCGCAGCAGCAACAGCAGGAGGAATAGGTGTTGAGGGAGTCCTCTTCTTCATCCCCAGATGAGGCACTTGAGGGGTCTATGCCATCGATGGACTCAAGATCTCACTAAGACCCTTAAAAACACCTTGCACGGAGCAAGTTCAAAGGGTTTTCTTGGGAAGCAGGTAACCTTCTACCAGAGCTACGTATTTGGCAAAGTGAAAGCGCTTTTCCATCTGGGTGGTACAAAGAGAAGTCCCCCGATGGATGCCCTTATCCCATCTGTCCTCTATTTATCTTGTGGGTGCAGGGATGGTCTTTGTCCTCGGTCAGGGTACACCTGGTGGCTATCTGTGCCTTCCACTCAGGCTCGCAGGTCAAGCTGCTCTTTGTGAACCCTATGGCTCACTGTTTTTTGAGGGGTTTGGACAAGCTTTACCTGCATGTTCAACAACCAGTCCCCCTCATGGATCTCAATTTGGTCCTTTCTAAGCTTACTAGTCCTCTTACACCTATCATGGAAGGTATCCTTTCTGTTGGTCATTCAGTCAGCCAGACAGGGGGTTTGAACTCAGGGATCTAACTTCAGACTCCTCCTCCCCCCTCCCCCAATACTGTTTTCTTTAAGGATAAGGATAAGGATAAGGATAAGGCTCCTTCCGCACCCTGCTTTCCTGCTCAAGATGGTGTCCCATTTTCATATTAATCAGGATATTTTTTTGCTTGTGTTTTGCCCCAAACCTCATACTTCCGGTAAAGAACAGGCTCTACACACATTAGATGTATGAAGAACTTTAGCTTTTTATTTAGACAGGACAAAGCCCTTTCGCAAATCTCCCCAGCAATTCAGTGTGATAGAATTAAGGGTCTCCCAGTCTCAGCCCAGCACATCTCATTGTGAATCACCTCTTGTATCAAGACTTGCTATAATTTGGCAGGGCTACCAACCCCTCTCCTCATGGCCCACTCCAATAGGGCCCAGGCCTCCTCAGCCACATTTGTTGCTCAGGTACCTATCCTGGGCATTTGCAGGGCGGCCACCTGGTCCTCAGTTTTCACCTTTAACTACTATGCTTTTGTGCACCAGGCCAGGGAGTATGCAGCCCTTGGTAGAGCAGTACTGTGTCCCATTGATAGTTAAGGCACCAACCCCACCTCCAGAGGTTCTGCTTGGGAATCACCTACATGGAATGGACATGAGCAATCACTCGAAGAAAAAAATGGTTACTTACCTCATAATGGTTGTTTTTTGAGATGTTGCTCGTGTCCATTCCAATCCTACCTGCCTCCCCTTCATCAGAGATTTTCGGCAAGAAGGAACCAAGGGTGTGGCAAGCTGGCAAGGGTATATATGCACATATACAGGTGCCACTCCAAGGGGCTCTGCCTGTTGGCCCAACGGGTACCACTGAGGGAAAAACCTTCAGACAATCTGTGTACACGGCGCACGCACACCCCTATGGAATGGACATGAGCAATACATCTTGAAGAACAACAGTTACGAGAGGTAAGTAACGGTTTTTACCCAGCTCTTTGTTGAACCATGCTCATTGCAGATGGAATCTTTGGAAATGTTTGTTGCCAGCTCCTAAAAAGCCTTTACTGAATATGTGTAATATTCTTTGGGGCAGGAATTTTTTGTTCTCTGTTTGTATAACACCTAGCACAATGAGTTCTTGGTCCCGGAGTGGTGTTCTTTGGCACTATGCTAGCAGAAATAATAAACCTTGATTTTCAGTGGTTTATAAAGTTGTCGAATCTCAGTGAATTTTTCATGGGGACCACAAAAGGCAGCTCCTTAATGCCACAAAGACTCCCTGACAAATCTCAAGTCCCTGCTCCACAGCATGGAGACATTGGTTTCTCAAAGGAAAAGTTGAATTTGCAAACATTGACAAAGCAACGTATTTTTCCCCCAAACTTCAAGAACTGTTTTTTTTTTTTTTTTTTTTTTTTTAAAACAAGGCTGAGGCAGAACTGCCTTATGTCAAATTTCTGCTTCTGGTTCAAGTGTGACAAAATCATAAGCTACCGAAAAGAGAAATTTAGAATGGAAAGTGTTGTACAACTTGAACAACATGCATCACTGCCAGCTATAGTTGTGATGTAACTCTCTAATGCTCATTGTAGTTCTCTGGTATATTTCATTCATACTCAGCCATTCACTGAAAACCTTTGACCGTTTACTTATGAGAGCAGGGTCATACTTGTAACTTCTTCAGAATGTTGTGGGGAGTGTCATAGAGCTTGTGTGCCAAAATAACATTGCCTCTCAAGAAGGCTGTTAAGTAAAGGAAGGATGTCAACGTTAAACCGAGAGAAACTGAATTAAAACAGATGCTTTTTGTTTTATATTTAGGGTACCTGATCATCAAGATATAGCTTTTGGGGCTTTGCAGCAGGGTACCAATTGCCTCGACACTTTGGGCCATTTTGCAGATGGTGTTGTTGGAGTTTATGAATGTCATAATGCTGGGGGAAACCAGGTGTGTATTCTATGCAGTTATTTTTAAAACTTGTTTTTTTTTTAATATGGAATTTGAGGCAGGCAATGTGTACTGCTTTTAGGAAGGTTGAATCACTAAGGTAGGCTAAATCACTTGTGTGTCAAATAATTTGAGTTTTAGAATAATACAGGCCAGAGATGGCAATAGGAATCGGATTATCCACTCCATATCTCAATATCTAAATTGTTACTCTTCCTGGATAGCTCCCATGCCATCCGCACCCAGAGTTGCATCTTTATTAAAACACTAGGAGATTACCTGGCATTTTTCGGTCCTTAACTGAAATAAGTTTTGTTTTTCTTCATTTAAGTCATTGTTCTGGGGTGGGGATGGGGCTGAGGAGTTCAGTATGTAGGCTGCCCTAGGGAGAAAGAACAACCCCAGACCTCACTCACCGCAGCAGCATGGGGTGAGGTGAGAAACACCTGTCCATGGCTGCTGCAGCTGCAACAGGCACAACCAGGGGGAGAGGTGCATGTGCCCCAGCTGGGGGACGGACGGACACAAAGTCACCCTGTGAAATACATAGTAGGTAACTGTCTTTCTCCACTCTTGGACCCTGCAAGCCCAGTCGGGTTATAACTGTCTCTGTCTCCATCTCTGTCCCCTTCTTGCCCTCATGTGGTCATTCTACAGTGTAACCGTCCCTCCTACCAGACTCCTCCCTGTCTATTTTATGAGAAACAATCTAATTCCAGGTGCATCCTATTGTCCTGACACAACCAAACCCTTACCTTGCTTTAAGTTATGATAAGAGGGAACTGCATTCCGAATTTGGTGGTCCTAGCTCTTTCCATTTAGGAGTTCTTGCACAAATGGAATCACGGACGGAAGGACAGACGCAGATTACTGAAATATATATTAAGATGTTTCCTTTGAAACATGTCTACAAAAAAGTAGTAGTTTCGGCTGAGTTTATATCACCATTTTCTGTAAGTGTCCTGAAGACAAAAGGGGCGGGGGCACTATTTTTTAGGTGGGTTGGTTCCTCCCACTGGGAAATAGTTGCTGAGTGTGAAAAAGATTTTTCTTAAATTCCAGACACATTCTTCCAGAAAGCATAAGCACCAAAAGTCCCATCCCACTCATTAACAATAAAGATTGTGTTCCAGTAAATCCTTTCTAATCCTTCTTTTAAAAACTAACTGCAAGTGTGTCAAAGGAGTAAACAAGAACTGAATGGAAACATTAATTACTGCAAAGGATGTAATTATACAGTTGTCTTATAGGCACCATTAACCAACTACTTGCATATGCTTTTCCTCTAGTTTCCTGTGCTAGCTTTGTACATAAATGGTTTTCAAATTCAACTCAAATACAAATAAATGGATATTAATAAATAATAAACAAGGTATATAGTTAATTTGCTAATCAGTTTTCTACCATATCAGACTAGTAATTGCATCCCTTTAAATTAAATTGGAGGGGAGGGGAAAATCAAAATCTTACCAGGATCACAAAACTAAAAAATATGAATAATTCCAGAAAAAGCAGTATATTCATCTGAATGCACTCCTACCATACTATCCACTTTAGGGGCATCTTCAATTTTAGTCTCCATCAGAGATGAGAAATTTTTTCCAGATGTTAATGTGATGACCTTGTATTAGAAATGTAAAATCCCTTGTAATTGGTTACTGGTTAAACATGAAGTTTTTTGAGGAAGAATGGCTCTTGCGCAAAAGGGTGGGTTTTGCTCAAAAGGCGCCATCTACACAGCGCTTTTTTGCACAAAAACCTCTTGCCCAAAGGGAAAGGAAGAGAAAATGCATATTGAGTGTGAACTGTGCAAATGAGCGCTTTATTTGCATTTGCTCTTCCTCAAGAGATTTGTAGTATAGTCGTAGCCCAAGATTGGGTGTTTCTGATAAGGGTTAATATTTGAAGTTTTTGTGGAAGCATCAATATGTTTGAGTGGATTTAATAATGGATGGGAAGACCTGGATTCCATTCCCCAGTACTGCCACTCGTTCACTTTGTAACTTAGATAACTTTTAGCCTTTTCATGCCTCAATTTCCGTATGTAAAATGGGAATAAATGTTACCTTTGCAAATAGCTGTGAGATCTATGGGCACAAATTACTAGAAAGTAATGCCTACCTCTTAGCTGGAAGTGTTGTTTAAAGAAGATATTCTTCATAACATTACCATTTTAGCTACTATCCTTGGAGAAGATATGCATTTTAAGTTTGTTTTTATACACATGGGCTTGACTTCAGCTATACATTGCCCACATTCAATCAAGAGCTGGTGTAAGAATCCCCCAAAGAGCAGTGGCTTTACATTGTTGAGCCTGGTACCCCTGTCTGTCTTGGAGACCTAGAGTGTGATACCTCAGTTTGCACCATAAGTGGGTAGAGTTTGACAGGGAACCCGCCCCCTCACCCACTCCACCCCCCAGTATATTTTTGCCTATTAAAAATGAGCCACACTCAGGGAAGCCTCTTGGGGCATATGAACTCCACTAAGCCCAAAAAGCCCTCCTGATAAGTAACCAGTGTAAGAAATCCATTGAAGACTTTTGTTTAAGGAAAAAATCACCTATTTTTAGAGAGTCTGTGTAGTTCACAGAAGTGACAAGCTTTACCAGCTAGCTGGTACTGCTTATTTTCATGAAACATCAAATGTGAATCTCACAAAGGGTATACAGTTCAGTACTTCCAATGTTTAGAAATTCACATGAATTTCAAAATACTGGTTCCAGTACCTACTATTAAACCAAAATCGTAACAAATGACTATTATTTCTACTTTGTTCTTTAAAAAGGTAGCTACTTACATAAGGATTGAAGGGACCTATCCAGCAAAAGTCACGTTTCTGTCTCTGAAACTACACATTTTAAAAATACATTCAGTATTAGTTTGCTCTAAACTGTAAAGAAGTTTGAGTAGCTTTGTGGTTCACAAAGGGATGATAGGGAGTTTACATTTTCGTGTGCAGCCATATGTTTTCCTTTAGACTTATGTGGTATGGTTTCAGTTATCCCAGATGATGAATTGCTAGTAGATGATTACTAAATGTATATGATGATAATGGTAGGACGCTGGAGAAATTCTGCTTATTTTTCGTGCATACTCTCATGAGGGAATTAACGGAGTCATTCTACATCAAGAGGATTGCAAGATATAATCCATGCCAAAAGTGCAGTTAAATCAAATGAAAAATTTGATTATATAATCAGCTAATCTCTTCCAGTCATGTACATTGCTTCCCAAGTAGTTTTTAATGTTATGGCTAATAAATTCAGTCCTGTACAACTAGGTCTCATAGGAAATGGAAACTAGGACAACTAACAAAGGATGAATATAGGCAAGCAACACGGGAATGCAGGGGCAAGATTAGAAAGGCAAAGGCACAAAATGAGATCAAACTAGCTACAGGCATAAAGGGAAACAAGAAGACCTTTTATAAATACATTAAAAGCAAGAGGAAGACCAAGGACAGGGTAGGCCCACTGCTTAGTGAGGAGGGAGAAGCAGTAACAGGGAACTTGGAAATGGCGGAGATGCTCAATGACTTCTTTGTTTCGGTCTTCACCGAGAAGTCTGGAGGTGTGCCTAACGTAGTGAATACAAGCAGAGAGAGGGTAAGTTTAGAAGATAGGATACACAAAGAACAAGTTAAAAATCACTTAGGAAAGTTAGATGTCAGCAAGTCACCAGGTCCTGATGAAATGCATCCCAGGATACTCAAGGAGCTGATAGAGGAGGTATCTGAGCCTTTAGCTATGATCTTTGAAAAATCATGGCAGACAGGGGAGATTCCAGAAGACTGGAAAAGGGCAAATATTGTGCCCATCTATAAAAAGGGGAATAAGAACAACCCAGGAAATTATAGACCGGTCAGTTTAACGTCTGTCCCAGGGAAGATAATGGAGCAGGTAATTAAGGAAATCATATGCAAACACTTGGAAGGTAATAAAGTGATAGGGAATAGCCAGCATGGGTTTGTGAAGAACAAGTCATGCCAAACTAATCTGATAGCTTTCTTTGATAAGATAACGAGCCTTGTGGATAAGGGAGAAGCGGTGGATGTCATATACCTAGACTTTAGTAAGGCATTTGATACGGTCTCGCATGATATTCTTATTGATAAACTAGGCAAATATAACTTAGATAGGGCCACGATAAGGTGGGTGCATAATTGGCTGGATAACCGTAGTCAGAGAGTTGTTGTTAACGGTTCTAAATCCTGCTGGAAAGGGATAACAAGTGGAGTTCCTCAAGGGTCTGTTTTGGGACCCGTACTGTTCAATATCTTCATCAATGATGTAGATATTGGGATAGAGAGTACTCTTATTAAGTTTGCAGATGATACCAAACTGGGTGGGGTTGCAACTTCTTTGGAGGATAGGGACATAATTCAGAATGACCTTAGCAAGTTAGAGAAATGGTCGGAGGTAAACAGGATGAGGTTTAATAAGGAGAAATGCAGAGTGCTCCACTTAGGAAGGAACAATCAGTTCCATACATACAAGATGGGAAGCGACTGTCTAGGAAGGAGCATGGCGGAAAGGGATCTAGGGGTCATAGTGGACCACAAGTTGAATATGAGTCAACAGTGTGATGCTGTTGCAAAAAAAGCAAATATGATTCTAGGTTGTATTAACAGGTGTGTTGTAAGCAAAACTCGTGAAGTCATTCTGCCGCTCTACTCTGCGCTAGTTAGGCCTCAGCTGGAGTACTGTGTCCAGTTCTGGGCGCCACATTTCAAGAAAGATGTGGAGAAATTGGAAAGGGTACAGAGAAGAGCGACAAGAATGATTAAAGGTCTAGAGAAGCCTATGAAGCCAGGCTTCATGAACTGGGCTTGTTTAGTTTGGAAAAAAGAAGATTAAGGGGGGACATGATAGTGGTTTTCAAATATCTAAAAGGGTGTCACAAGGAGGAAGGCGAAAATTTGTTCCTCTTGGTTTCTGAGGACAGGACATGGAGTAATGGGCTTAAAGTGCAGCAGGGGAGGTTTAGATTGGACATTAGGAAAACATTCCTAACTGTCAGGGTGGTCAAATATTGGAATAAATTGCCAAGGGAGGTGGTGGAATCTCCCTCTCTGGAGATATTTAAGAACAGGTTAGATAGACATCTGTCAGGGATGGTGTAGACGGAGCTTGGTCCTGCCTTGAGGGCGGGGGGCTGGACTCGATGACCTCTCGAGGTCCCTTCCAGTCCTATTATTCTATGATTCTATGCAGCTCAGAATCCTCCTCCAGTACCAGGAACAGACTTTATACCTAAAAGGCCTGATTAAGAAGTGATTTGAAGGGGGAGAGGCAGCCTCCAATGATAGGGGGAATTTGCCTAGGAGGAGGAAGGGAACCAGAGAATGAGGAGTGAACAGAAGCTGTAAGTGGGATCCCAGGGAGGTCACACTGAGGTTACTCGGGGCAAACCGCAAAGAATGGGGCAGACAGTTCCCAAAGATGGGGGATAATCCAATACTAAGATTTACCAAGCCAGCACAAAATAGCTTCTATAATACCTTATGGGTTTCACTGAGGCCCAAACTCAGTTCTGTAATAGCAACTCACCATTGGGCTTTCTCCCAGACACAGTAGTCCAGCAATGGGCAACCTAGGCTAATGAGTAGGCCGCATGAGCCTCTTTCATCGCATTGGGCCACAAGACTGTTGTAAACAAGACAGTCTCCTGGGATAGAATAGTTTTGCTAACAACGTTTGCGTATCTAGATGCACGGTGTGCTGATTGAACTGTAGCAGTGCTTTGATGGTATGCAGAGGGCACACATTGCCTTCTGTCAGTGTTGTGTTGCAATCAGCAGGCACCTCACTTCATGTGCCCTGGTTTTTTAAGCATGTGCCACTTCAGTCAGACCGGTAGGGAAAAAACAACACAAACAGAAACCAGTGGAATCTGGCAACCCTATGCATGGGCAACGATAAGCAAAATCTCTCACAGGCCACAGATTGAACTCTGATGGGCTGCAGGTTGCCCATCACTGCCCCGGTGAAATATGATGAGGATTACTAAAAATCTTATCATATAAGAAAGCTTTACCAACCTCAAAGGGCTGGACATATTACCACCCAAGTTTGTGAATATTTCAGATCTTGCCTAAATACATGCTTATAGCTAATTCTTATTAAGCTAAAAATGTATTTTAAAAAGAATATTGGTTAAAAGGTTGGTATACAGATAGACATGAGTACTGTTCGAAGATCAGTTTCATATAGAGATGGTGAGTTTAGTAGTTACAAAGAGTTCTTTCAGAATTTCAGTCCATAGATTATAGTCCAGTGTTCATATCCAAGGTGATCCAGGTGGGACTGGAGATCTCTTATGACATAAGATTCCCCTGCATAAAACATCAAGCAGATCTGAGATGAAAGGATCAGATGCCAAGAATGTTTATACAGTTTTTAGGCAGCCTCTTGACCAAAGAGTCCTACAGTCCTACAATAGGCTTTTGAAGTAACTACATGGATAAATATACAGTAGTTTATCCATTAAGCAGTTTGTGATAAAACTTAGAGACAAATAGACAATATTACTACTTCACCCAGGATTCATCTAAATGTTAATATTCCCTTTTGATCTCTGAATTAGTAGGATAGTAATAGGAACTATCTGTTTACAGGACTTAACATCTAACAAGCTAGGTGAACAAATGCAATTAGTATCACTTCTACTTCTCTAGCAATACAAGTTTGCATTTCAAATGGACCTCGCCCATTTGCATACTTTTCTAACCAGGGTCTAAAGGTTGAGTCACAGGAGCATAGAGACCAAACCTGTCTGGGCTGGAGGTGGGAACCAGAGCAGACCTTCTGATGGTGGTAATCAAGCAAGCTGGGCAATAGTTTGAGGCAGTCTAATAAAAATGGATAGACATTTTTATCTTTTTTCCTTTTAAGAAAATACTAGGAAGTTATATAAAAATCTGTTAAGAAAACTCTAAGTGGTGAAGTCTAGTACATATTCATCGTTAGGAAATGTCAAATTTGTAGTTGTCCTTGAAATCTTAATTCGGCCTCTCGTGCATATGTACTGTGGTAGTATTGGCACTACTGGTTTATCCAGCTATGTAGACTGTCTTCTCAAACCCTACGCAACCAACACTCCCAGCTATCTCCGAGGGTATGTCTACACTACAGCACTAATTCGAACTAACTTAATTCGAATTCTCATAGACTCATAGACTTTAAGGTCAGAAGGGACCATTATGATCATCTAGTCTGACCCCCTGCACAGTGCAGGCCACAGAATCTCGCCCACCCCTCTTAGAATAATCCTCTCACCTATGTCTCAGATATTGAAGCCTTCAAATACTTTGAAGGCCCCAACATGCAGAGAGTCCTTCAGCTGTGATCTGTGCCCAGTGCTACAGAGGAAGGCGAAAAACCTCCAGAGCCTCTGCCAATCTACCCTGGAGGAAAATTCCTTCCTGACCCCAAATATGGCGATCAGCTAAACCCTGAGCATGTGGGCAAGACTTACCAGCCAGACACCCAGAAAGTTCCCTATAGCAACTCCTATCATCCCTCCATTGACCTATTTCCAACTGATAATGAATGGTCAATTAGTTACCAAGATCATGTTATTTCATCCAACCATCCCCTTATCATAGAATCATAGAACTGGAAGAGACCTCAGAAGGTCGTCAAGTCCAGCTCCCTGCTCTAGGCAGGACCAATCCCATCTAAATCAACCCGGCCAGGGCTTTGTCAAGCCGAGACTTAAACCCCTCTAGGGATGGAGACTCCACTACTTCCCTAGGTAACCCATTCCAATGCTTCACTACCCTCCTAGTAAAATAGTTTTTCCTAATATCCAATCTGGACCTCTCCCACCACAGCTTGAGACCATTGCTCCTTGTTCTGCCATCTGTCACTACTGAGAACAGCCTCTTTCCATTCTCTTTGGAACCTCCCTTCAGGAAGTTGAAGGCTGCTATCAAGTCCCCCCTCACTCTTCGCTTCTGTAGACTAAACAGACCCAAGTCCCTCAGCCTCTCCTCGTAGGTCATATGCTCCAGACCCCTAATCATTTTGGTTGCCCTCCGCTGGACCCTCTCCAATGCTTCCGCATCCTTTTTGTAGTGGGGGGCCCAGAACTGGACACAATACTCCAGATGTGGCCTCACCAAAGCCGAATAAAGGGGAATAATGACATCTCTGGATCTGCTGGCAATGCTCCTCTTAATGCATCCTAATATGCCATTAGCCTTCTTGGCTACAAGGGCACACTGTTGATTCATATCTAGCTTCTCATCCACTGTAACCCCCAGGTCCTTTTCTGCAGTTAATTCGAACTAAGCTAATTCGAACTAGTGCATCTAGACCTAAAAACTCATGCAGTCCACGATCTCCGCACTAGACCAGGTGGGCGCCTGCCTCTTGCGGCCCCAGGCAGGCTCCTGGGAGCCCCCAGCCTGGTCCCCGGGAGAGGCGGGGGGGCGGGGGGGGGGGGGGGGGCGGGCTTGGGTGGCTGGGTGCTGGCAGGCTTGCACCTGGCACAAGCACTGTAGCCAGACCGTGCCCCTTTAAGGGCTCCGGGGCCAGGAGGGGGGCAGAAGAGTTTCCCTGGTTTGGCCCAGAGTGGCCACCAGGGCAAGCTGGGAAGGGCTAGCCCTTCCACTAGTTTGAATTAAGTGGCTACACAGCCCTTAATTCGTACTACTTAATTCGAACTAGGCGTTAGTCCTCGTAGAATGAGGTTTACCTAGTTCGAATTAAGCGCTCCGCTAGTTCGAATTTAAGTTCAAACTAGTGGTTTGTACATGTAGTGCCTATGAAAGTTAATTCGAACTAATGGCTGTGTATCTGTGCAGTGTTTTGAGCACAGGTGGACAGACTTGTATTGCCTAAAAAAGCTGTATAGGTGGCTATTTGAAGCAAAGGCTCATGCTCTGAAGCCATGGGATCCAACCAGTTCTAAAGCCACACTCAACCGGCTAAACAGCACGTGTAGTGCGATGGACACCATAGCTCTGAAGCCTAGGGAGATGGAGGGGCTTCAGAGTCCAAATCACAAATCTGTTGCCCTGAGCTGGGAGGCTCCCTTCTTTGTCTACATTGGGGTTCTAGAGAATCATGTTTCAATATGGTTCAGCTAAAATTAGGAATGTAAAATTCTGTTTGCTTAGTTAACCAGTTAAATGTTAAGTTTAATCGGTTAACTGATTAAACGGGGAGGCTGGGTGGAGGCTGCTTAGTCTGCACAGGCTGGGAGTCGGCAGTCTTACATGGGGCCAGAAGTAACAACGAAGGACTGGCGGGGGGAGGCCGCTCATGGGTAACAGTTAACCATTCACCTCCCTAGCTAAAATGGGCTCTGCATTTGACCAGTCATTGAATCAGAAGGTTGTCAGTTTGGAATATTAGTTTACACTTATTTTTAAACTGTGCATGCATGGAAAAAGCGCTGTTTGAACACTTGATGCTCTGAGTGAGAAGAGGGGCTCTTTGTTACAGAAAGTGCCTCTGCTGAGCCTTTTTACAAGAGTTTAACAGGCCAACTGAGCATGTGTATGTTTTTGCACATGTATATGTTCACAACTTGATTATTCATTGTATTTCCTTGTATTCCAGGAATGGGCCTTAACTAAGGACAAGTCAGTGAAACACATGGATTTGTGCCTTACTGTTGTGGACCGAGCACCTAGTTCACTAATAAAACTCCAGGGCTGCAGAGAAAATGACAGTAGACAGGTGAGTACATAAAGTGTGTTCACAGAGAGGCATTGCTGATAACTTGATTTGAGATGGGTGTGAAACTCAGGAATGAGTCCAGTGGAAAAGATGGTATTAGTGGAGCTAATATAAAGATGCCACACATTTTTCCATTAAATTATGTGTGTGAGAGAAAAGAGGACTGTCATAATCTCTTCATAACCTGCTAAAAGTGAAGGTCTGAAAGTTCCGTCACAAGGTTTTTTGGTGGTGGTAAAAAAAATTCATAATGAAGTGCGAAGCGTCCATAAGAATCTAAATGTTGGCAACTAGGTAAACCTAAAACTCTGAAACAAGATCACAAAAAGGAAACAATCTTGAGACTTTTAACTGAGGAAACACAAAGATGCAGGCATATGTAAAGATAGATTTCATTCCAGAGACCATGAATTCTACATAGTGTAACCCTCCCTCTACCCCAAATATTATAACCTGGGAGGCCAGAAGGTCCGAATTTTGGACCAAACTGAGCCCTCATTTATATTCTTGACACTTCTGTGAAACTGAGGTTGTATAGCTATAAGTGAGGGTTGAATTTGGCTTTATTTTCCATTTCAGTCTTTTTACTACAGTATGTATGTAATTTCTTAAAGTGCATTATGGAACATGGGTGGAAAGCTACAATAGCACTTGCACCATTATCCTTTGCCCTAAAGTTCTTCAATGAATTATTCTAATAACACATCACAAGTACCCTAGATGTCTTTTGCTTTGTGCTTAGACCTCCTTCCTCTCCCTATCTTAAACCCATGAGAAATGCACTAAATCTGTCCATATGAGCTAACAGAGTTTAACATAACTTGTTTATAGCGGTAGAGTCTCTCTAATATTTGGTTTAGATTTTCACTGCTACCTGTTTGTCTGTCTGTCTCAGTTTTTATTTAAATAACAGGAATGTTAAGTGCTTCCAGCACACTTATAAATGAGAGAGACCTCTTTTATTTACATTGCAAGAGCATATTTTTCTTGTTTTCCTAAGTGAAGCTATCATAAGGTAATATAGTAGGATGTAAAGAAAGACATAACAAATAATTGTCAACATTTATTGCAGCTTAAAGGTTCGTGTTATAGGTAAACAGTACAATAGTAATATAATAAATGTTAGGGGCAGAGATCCATAGGGGACGGGGTGTGCATTTAGAGGTCATGTCCAGATAATATCAATGTAGAAAGCTGTCCTCCTCAAGCATGCCTTATAAGTAAGTCAGCCCAGTAGCTGTGGGATGTAATGCCTGGGTCTACTCTATCAAACTATTTCCAGAGACAGATCCATGATAAATTTCTGTAGCTCTTATTTCAGTGAAGCCCAAACATGTGTGACAGTCTAAGTCTCTGAGGAGAAGAGCTTGATTCCTTTTCTTCTTCACACCTGAGCAGCCAAGAACATATACATCAGTTGCAGAAGACATGTCTTGCATATTATTTAAGAGGAAAATAGAAGGAAAAGCCTTTCTGGATCTAGGGAAAAGGCAAAAATTGAAGGAAGACATAGGACTCCTCCTTGTTAGAGCGCCAGGCTCCCTAAACTGATTGCAGCATTAAGCAGCAGTTGCTTTGTTTTCTGGTTGCCATGCCTAAGTAAAATCACATTTTCAGAGTCATCTCAGCAGCAAATGCCTTTCATTTCATCATAGAGAAGTCTTCTGTGCAAAGTTCTGGCTTTTTCTTTCCTTTGAGCCTCTGTGCTCTTGTGCTCATGGAGCAGCCATTGTGCAAATATTTCATGAATAGGAGTTTTCTTTCTTTGAGCTACTATTTAGTGAGAATGTAATTAGATCTCAAAGAAAAATATTTTCTATTCCTTTTTATCTCCGAATCCAAGCATGGAAGGTGCTGAGTTCCCCTCAGTGCTCTCAGCACTTGGCATGATTGGGCCTTTGATGATGATATAATCCACTGAAGGAAGCAAAACTAGGGTTGCCTGATAGTTTAACACAAAATACCCCCCCCCCCCCCAAAAAAGGGGGGGGGACCAAAGTTGAGCCCCCCCGCCCCCCAAAAAAAAAAGACTCCAAGAACCCTGGATCACTGGTAGGGGTTACCAGGTAGTCAACCGACTGAGGGCTCCTGGCGGCAATTGCGGCCCCGACTCCCAGCCGCTCCCCCCAGCCCACGCCAGGCATCCGTCAGGTGCGCAGCCGGAAAAATCAGAAAATACCAGACATTGCACATGTCCAGTATTTTCTGATTTTTTTTAACCGGACAGAGCACGCCAATACCGGACTGTCCGGTACAATACCAGACACTTGGCAACCCTATGTACAGTTGCCAGTATTTAAGAAAATTTGGCAAAAGTCAGTTTTTGAATAGGCCGTAAGCTGCTAGGTCCTCATGTGTCATAGGGTTTGTGGATATGCTAGTTACAGTATTTACCAATATTCTTGTCACAAACTCCACTTTTAAAGGCAGGGTAAGAATCATTCCTATTTTAACAGATAAGGACACAGATAGGAAGAGAGTTGTTGGCAAGGGCTGTAGTCAGAAACTGTCAGCCAGGAATAGAATGCAGAAGTTCCTTGTTCTTAGTCCCACAATTGGTCAATCAGACAACAGTTCTGGACAATGCTGCTTTTAACAGCCACAAATTAATTAGGGAGTTCCAGACTTTGAGCGATCAATGGCTGTGGTTTCCACAGCCTCTGAAAGATTGCTCTTGGTGTCAGTTCTTATGATTACAATTTTAAAATATTGGAAAAAAACTGAAATTAGTGCTGACATTTGTTCTGCAAGTGCTGGGAGGGAGGAGGCACAGCTGCAGGCTTTGCAGGCCTTTAACCTAGCACTGCATTGGGATAGCATGCACTTTGTACTAGAAGAAGTGTAATGTCCTGTTCTAGTACAAAGTATTAGTTGGCTTAAAAGTTGCTTTATGGCTTGTGATAGTTTAGACAAATCTTAAAGGACAGGATATAATCCAGGGGTGGGCAAGATACAGCCCACCAAGCCATTTGATACAGCCTGTGGCCTGCCCTGCTGCACTCCCACCCCCACACCAGTCAACACCCGGGGGTGGGTTAGCGTGTGAAGTCTCCTCCCCTGCCAGTGGTGTGAGGGCACCAGCTGTTCTGAGGATGGAGAACTAGGAAGGCAGGACATGAAACATATTTTTATCCACACTTGGATAGCTCATTACTTTCTTTTCTTTTCCAGAAATGGGAGCAAATTGAAAGCAACTCTAAACTGCGGCATGTTGGCAGTAATCTGTGTCTAGACAGCCGAAATGCCAAAAATGGTGGTCTTACCGTTGAGGTCTGCAATCCTTCTCTGTCACAACAGTGGAAATTCACACTTAATCTACAGCAGTAGAATGGCTTACACACACAATGCCATCTTGTTTGCGAGACATTGGCCAAAATTTTGATCGCATTACTGATATATTTCTTAAACTTTCCACGGAACTTATATACCTCAGTATTCCATCATCATCTGAAAGTAAGAGAAAACACAATGGAACACAAGGGAACCAAGGGGACATGGAACACTGCGACTGTCTCACTGAACCACAGCTGCAGCAGAGTCCCCTTCTGGTGTAAAGACTTACCAGTTCCTGTCTGACTTCAGTTTAGTACTTGCACAGCAGATGATTAACATCCTTAGAAACAATTGATGTACAGTAGCAAATGGATCTTAACATGCAGAAGAAGGGAGGGGAATAGAGCACGGGGAGGGAAACTGGGGAAAATAAACTTCTAGGAGAAACTGAAATCTCCATTTACATAGAAATCATCGCTTGTGGTTTCCAGAAGCTGAAGTGACATTTTGAAGGTTTTTTTTCCGTGTGTAATTGGTATATTTGAATATGAACTTTTCTATGATGAACTCTAAATATATATATTATATATAATATATATATTTTGTCAGTTCCCAACTGTTTCAGTTTTCCTCATCTTGTAATTATCAACTAAGTGATTAACATAACATAAACCGAAAATTGGATTGGAATGCAGTGAGAGAACCAAACTTTGTGAAGGTGTGTAATGTCCATGCTAACACTGGATGCTTTTGCTTTGTGAACTGGACCTACTTCTTAGCACTTCACCATCTTTGGAAATTATGGAACTCAGGAGGAGGAAGAGGAAACAGCAGAACAAACTGATGCATCTGCACAGCTCAGTGCTTGGATTATCTCTTCTGACTGGGATTCGGTACATGTGCCCTGGGTGTTGTAAACTTGTACTTGATATTTATATGAAAAATTATATAAGCAATGCAACTCTCACAGATGCAGCCATTGGGGGTTCAGCACAGTTTGTTTATTTTTGCAGGGCTCTGATCAGCTAATTTCTTGGTGCTACTAGTCCATAGTATCCTGACTTATTAGGATCTCTGTGTACAGACAGCCCAAGATCATAGTAAGTTTTAGTATGCAAGAATCATCAGAAGCTACATGAGATCTGAGTTGCACTTGTTTAATTGATAAACCTGTTATGGGGGATCCTACTTGAGGTTTTTTAATCTTCCAGGCTCTAATCTGGGTATCAACAGGTGCCTGGTGTGGTATTTTTAACGTTAGAACACATACAATTTACAGCCTCAGCCCAACTGACACTTTTATATTAAAGCAGTGCTGTCAAAGTTAGGTTGACTCCAGTGTTCACCTACCTGCTTATGTTTGCCTGGTCTACATGATTTGTTAAAAGCATTTATTTTTAATATAAAAAAGCAAGGAATCCGTGCTGGCAATAAAAAAAACCATTGCATTGATAACTTATAGATGAGCAATGTAAAAACTAGCCTGGTAAGATAATGGATCTCAAACAGCCTAACGGCTGATTTAAAGAGAGAGACTTAGAAATATTGTTCCTAAACCATACTATGACAGTGTTCTTTTCCTTTTTCTGGGTCTCTGGGAGTAAGTATGTCACGAGCTGCATTTTCCTTTCTGGCTGAGTTTAGTACAGTATGTGGAACTTCTCCATGCACAATGGTTTTTACTTTGCAGTGACAGACATTGGAATAAGAGGCCCATAAATGTATCTGATGTATGAGCTGAAGTAGCACAACATGGATCTGTGGATCTATTCACATATCCTTTGGGCTTCTCCTTCCTGTCCATCTCTCCTACAAATAAACCAAGAGGAGGAATCTCTCTCTTCTTCCCCTACTCCTCAGTCCTTTTGTCTCCACCAGTAAAACCTTGGGGATTTGCCTGTTTCAAGATGGCATGCAGTGAATAAACAACTTCTTTTCGGCATTCAGTTTCTCTCCATCCATACCCCTTGAGGTTACGTCTATGCTTTCAAGCACTACAGAAGCTAGATACTGCTCTAGCAATGTAAGGGGTTTTCTGCTCACTACTGCTTTAGAGGAAGTTACTAGGTCCCTGGAAAAACAAATCCATTGACCTAGCAGTGTCTCTTCTGAGGTTTATGTCAGGCTTAATTATGTCTCTGTGGCGACAGTTTTCACACCTCTGTGCAACATAGCTAGGTCAGGCTAAATTTTCACTGTAGATTAAGCCTAAACAAGGCGAGTTTGGGGAAGGATGTGATTCAGTAAATGCAGCCGCTGTGGGGATTACTGCTGCTCTTGAGAATGTGTTGAATTCTTAAAGAATGATCTCAGCTTCAAATTCATTGTCTAATTATTCTGAAAGAAGAGCATTGAAAAGGTGCACTAAATTCATACTAAGCTGCTTTACACACTGACTTGGATCTTACCAAATGGACAGGCTATTGCTAACTGAAATCAGGAATGAAGGTCTGGATAGTGTTTAATGTTCTGATTTCTAGCTCTCAGCAGGATCGCTAGTAAAAAAAAAGTCTTAATTTTAAAATTCCCCCCTCCCTCTTCTTGATTGCAAACCAAGTTTTTAAATGTCATCCAACATATTGTGAAATAGAAATATATCTCTAAACCCCTACGGATGCTATGCAGACGCGTCTTAAGCACCACTGTATATTTCAAGGGCGCAGAACAGAAAGGAGGGTTATATCCTTTTGTTAGATATGTTTACATGACAGTGTGCCAAAGTTATTTACTGTGATTTAAGTATTTTTAAAGTATCAGGATTATTAGCCCACTTTTAAGAAAGGTAAAATTCCTACGAACCCCTGAAGCAAATTGTGATGGAGTCTTCTCTGATAGAATTTTTTTCTTATTGTCTTCAAAGCAAAAAATAATGGTACATGTGAGCTTGTTTTGCAAATTTTCAAAATATAGTTTGGAAATTTTTTCCGTTGGTTTAAAAAAAATCTGCTGTACAGAGCTTGTACTTTGTTCATTTTATAGATGGAAACCATCCTTGAAAAATTTAACTTAAATAAAGAAGATAATTACTTTATAGATAAGATTGTGGTTGTTGCTATAATTTGATTTCATGCACCCAGAAACTGGCAGCTGTTTCCAAATGTTTTGATCCACTTGGTTGGTTTAAGATGCTTGTTACATTTTTTTTCCAGATGTCTTTACGGAAGAAAAGTTACTTGTGAGTTTAAACGTTAAGTTGTAAGAAACTCACACTGAGGATGTATTTCCCTCTGAAGGACCAGTCAGTTGCCCATCTCTGTGGCTGCTGAGGAGCGCTGTTGTGGGCTGGAAGGTCTCTTACTGCTGGGAGTTTCAGGAGGAACAGGGTCCTGCTTCATTCCTCCAATGTACCTAGTTTCTCTGATTATTCCCTCAGTATGGAAAAGCTGAAGGAAGAGACCGTCTCTGGTAGCAACAGCTCAGTCAAGTAGGAGGGAACAGCATCTGGCAACTCTGAACCCGACATAGTCAATGAAGCTGGGATTTAAATATTCCCGGCTTCATTAAAATAAAAATGTTCGCCGCGCTGTGATCTCAGCTGATCATCGGCACAGCGCGGCAGTCAAGATGTGGATCAGTCGACAGGGAACGCCTTTGTCGACCGCTCCTGTAAACCTCGTTTCACGAGGCATAAGGGAGTAGTCGACACAGGCTTCCCCTGTCAACCGATCCACGTCTTGACTGCCGCGCTGTGCTGATGATCAGCTGAGCCGGCACAACGTGGCAGCCATTTTTATTTTAATGAAAGGATTTATTTATGTTTAAATCCCTGCTTCATTGACTATGTCGGGTAGTCTAATTTACATGCCTCTGTCAGCAGAGGCATGTAGTCTAGACGTACCCTGAGGTAGCAGAGGTTTGGGTAGGTGAGAAAAATGTGGCTGTCTAGTGAGTTAGAGGGGAAGGAATAAGTAGCAGGGATCGAGCTTTTGTGGGGCCATGCAAGTAGAGTCAAACTTTCACCAGTGCTTAGTATTGGCCTAGCTCAGGAATCACACCAAGGGGCGCATAGCCCTATGAAAATCCTACCCTTGCAAGGCATCACACTAAGCTTGGATTTTATCCAGGAAATTCTAATTGGCGAACACCTTTGCTGTTCATTGACAGAAGAAAGTTCCCAGAGCCAGTCTTGGGCTATGCTCCTGCTCACACCAACATCATTAGCAAAACTCCCATTGTCTTTCAGGGGCCTTTAGTTTGTTACTTGGGGGGAGATATAAACACAGCCATGTGGTCTCTGAGGAGATGGATACCTCACTTAACCAGCCCTGCTGGATGATTGTGGGACTACACCAGAATTTAAGCATTGCCAACATTTTACTCACCGCTGTCTGTGCAACATAAATCATTAAGGCTATGTCTACACTACAAGGTTTTTGCGCAAAAACTTGCAGCGCATCCACACCAAGTGCTTTTTTGCGCAAGAAAATCTACAGTCAATCGACAGAACAGAGGGCTTTTTGCAGTATAGGTAAACCTTCTACGAGGAATAACTCCCTTTTGCGCTACAGCTGTTGCACGAAAAGGCACGTGTGGATGCTCTGCAGGGGTTTCTTGCACAAAAAGAGCCTATCTGAAAAAGCACAGGTGCTCCAATGGCCATTCTGTTAATGGCAATTAGAGCTTTCTTGCTCAAAAGCGATGCACTTTGAGGTGTGGACGTGCTTGTGCCCAAGAAGTTTTTGCGCACGAACTCTTGCGCAAAAGACTACTTGTGCAAAAACCCTGCAGTGTAGCCTAACACCTCTGTGCACTAGAATCCTGTAATATTAGTGGATATGGACAACCTAAACATGTAACAATAAAATAGACATTTATAGAAAACATTACTGACCCCTAGTCATAGAATCATAAAATAATAGGACTGGAAGGGACCTCAAGAGGTCATTGAGTCCAGCCCCCCGCCCTCAAGGCAGGACCACGCTCAGTCTACACCATCCCTGACAGATGTCTATCTAACCTGTTCTTAAATATCTCCAGAGAGGGAGATTCCACCACCTCCCTTGGCAATTTATTCCATGTTTGGTTGAAATCAAATAACCCTGTCTAATGATGAATTTTCATTTATAAATTACATTAAAACATCTGGATTAAATGAACCAAACGTCCAACAAACTGTTTCATTAGAAAAAATTGCTAATTTTCTACATTTTCAAACCATAAACAGAGGGTTCATGTCCTATATCTCATGTAATATACACTCAAGTGAAACTGTATCCTATACTACTTGGCAAGAGAATGTAATTAAGTAATCTGTATAATATTTGATACAAATTTGTCTAACCAGTATATCAAACTTAGTCTTCCTCTGAATAAGCTGTGTAGTTTTGCATTCCATCTGAGAAATCTGTTACATTTATTCTAATTTCTGAAAATATTGACTACCAAGAAATGTAACTATCATAAATGAAATATTCATTTAGATCTTATTAGAGAATTAATCGTTATGTGTTCCAAAATACCCATTTGAGACTAGTCATTTTCAGTGCTGAATTCAAATGTCTGAATAATAGAAAAGCAGTTAATGGAAATATCTTATTGGAAGGCATTAATCTTCCCTCATTACAGATCAACCAAATTATGCCTCTTTCTCCAGTGTTTTTAAAAAGAATACCCGACTATGCCAGGCAACGTAGTTACACAATGTCGAGAGAGATGACTGTAAGCGTGTTAGGGCAGACTCTTTTGTTCAATGATTGTACAGCACCTAGCACAGTAGTTTTCTGGTCCATGACACGGGTTCACAGGCAGTTCAATAATACAACTATGTTTTTTAAAGGTTGCTATTTTGTATGAAAACATAAGAATTGGCTCCTTTGTGATAGCCTTATTTTCATTTTAATTCACTGTAAGTTAGTATCTTGTGCCAGTGTGCTTGCACGGTTTCCCTGTACTCATCATTTAAGCTGAAGCTCCACAGTGTGCAAATTCTTGATTTAACATGCTTATAGCTGGTATACTTGCTTCTGCATAAAATGATTTAAACATTTCCATCACTTGGGGAAAAAAATTGATCTGGGCTTACAGGCAATGATTAGAAAATGGGGGGAAATGTAGGGAGCTTATTCTGTGCTAGACTGCACATCATAGGAAGCAATTTAACATCTAGGAGCTATTTTAAGGTCTGCTAGTAAACTTTTTTTAAAACAGTCTTCAGGTGTCCTGTCCGTTGCAGGCTTCCAAAAATACTCTTAATGAATGCAATATATTCATTCAGCCGTGTCATAGTCAGCTCTGTACCAAGAGAGAGAAACAAATATGAATTCATTTGATTTTCCAGTGTTTGATTTTTTTTATTAAAAGGGAATTAGAGGTTACCAGTAAGTTGCATCCACTCCCTGGCTTGCCTTTCACATCAGTTTCCATTGTAAATTACTAAGGAAATATGGTAAAATTAATAAGTCACTAAGTACAGTTTTGGGTATGAAGTCAAAGCCCCCTTGTGTAAATAATGCTTCAGCCTTCCTCCCACTGTGAAATCAACTACTCTGAGCTGGGGTTAGTGTATTTTTGTTCCCATGTGCAGTATATTCCTCACTTTTACCAAAACTCCCTTTTCCCCTATGCTATCACTGCATTTGGCCTAATGATGGAATGTAATGGGAGGATTAAATAGCAGTATCTTTTGAGAGGAGGGAAGTACAAATCTGACTCTCAGGCATCCAAAGCAGAGTTTCCCTTGTCACTCTTTCATTTGACTATCTGGCCTGTACGCAGTAAAAAACAGTTGCTTTTTTAATAAACCTGAGTTCTGTTTGAGGGGAGAAATACAGTTTCTACCTGT